GCCTTCTTTCTTTGCGTGAACATTTGGGCGGCGTTATGCAAATCTTCCCACATCGTGATGTAGATATGTGGGAGCGTGTTAGAACGAGCCGTTTTAGGTAGGCGTGGCTGACTCTTAACTTTTATAAAGAATATCTCTTTGGATTTGAGACTTTAGTCTTTGCAACTTTACAGATCCTCTTTATGCACCAAGAGCTTGTAACACTCCAAAGAGAAAGGAAAAATTGAAATCGCATCATATGCCCTCTTTAAAGGTCATGCGCCGCTTCACACGTGACTGAACAGAGCTACACAGACCTCAGCTGAGCTCAGTATTCAGTGAACATTCAGATTTACACACTGGAGGAAGATGGTTGATATCTCATGGATTTTGGACTGAATCTGAGCCAAAAGCCAAAACCAACGTCCCTCCTTTTACTGCGTTATGTACTGTATGGTGTGCATTTTGTAGAGACAGAATGGCTGCAATTTTTGTTCTTTTCTTTTTGAGGGGGCTTTGTTATTATTATTATTATTTTTTTTTTTTAAGTAGGCTGGACTCATAAGTAGCCTACAACACACTTCAGCAGCCTAATATGGTTTTCATTAGACAAGCTTTACTCTAGTCTGTTGGACTTCATCTGTCTGGCCTTAATATCTAGAATGGGAACTAATGGATAGAATTAAGAGTAAATAATGTATGTATGTTTCTGTCTCATCTCATATCAACAGTATCAATTTGTTGATTATCACTTAAGAACATGGCAATGAAATCACGTTTAACGCTCGTTATACTCTCCCATTTTGGTCGAACATGCTGTTCTCTTATAGCTCGCTGTCGGGAGTCGAAGCAAAAGCTGCCACATGTCCTTTTTTGGTCACATAGACTGTAATTTGGCCATCCGCAATATAATTCCCAGAATGACCGTGACCACAACACATGAAGTAACAGCGCCACCTGCCGGAGAGAATGTGTCACATCTCGAGCTGCACCAACTGCGTCGAACGCGTTCACACGCCCTTATTAATTATGCTGACGAAATAAAACGCAGAACATGTAAGTGAAAGGATGTGAATATATTTCTGAGCCTAAATATTTATAATGGTCGTAAAAACACTGTGAGCATTTGCTTGGTTTAGTGTGTACTTGGATATAATTACCACTTTACACACAGGAATCCCAGCAAAAACTTTGAGATGCATTTAAAACTTACCACAGCTGCTCTATACCAAGTCTAGACAAAACTGGAGCAACAGGCAAAAGTGTTTTTTTTTTGGTCTAACTTATGCCACATTTAATGAAAAGTTCGTAGATTGCTATGTAGCCTAGTTGCTAGGGGTTTCTGGTAGATATGATAAAAAAATAGCTTTTATTTATTTATTATTATTATTATTTAAGATCCATTTACACGGCAAAAGAAATACAAAAATAATTATAATAAAGAATAATAAAAAATATATAACACTGGTAACATTTTATCTTGAAAAATAAATACAAACATAAATAATAATAATAGTAATATTTCTATTTTTTAAAGATAAAACTTTTAACAGTATTATTTTCCAGTTATTTAAAACCCTTTAATAAAAATATTATATATATGTAATATAAAAAATAAAATACAATTGAATAATTACAATAAATAGTGTGTGTAATACACACACACACACATATATTTATATGTAGGCTATATACATACAATTGTTGTATGTGCACTCGTTACAGTGTAATTATACAACTAAATACTGACTAATATTAATTAACATTTACTATAAAATTAAGCTTATAATTTGGTTTAGGAATAGTTATTACTATAGTAATGACACATAAGATGTATAACAAGGACACTAAAATAAAGTGTTACCTATTAACTGATTAAAAAAATGTAACATTATAATTATCAAAATCCGGTGTAATTATCATCATGTAATTATCAAAACCCCACAAAAAAAAAAAAAAAAAAATTTACACGGCAAAAGAAATACAAAAATAATTATAATAAAGAATAATAAAAAATATATAACACTGGTAACATTTTATCTTGAAAAATAAATACAAACATAAATAATAATAATAGTAATATTTCTATTTTTTAAAGATAAAACTTTTAACAGTATTATTTTCCAGTTATTTAAAACCCTTTAATAAAAATATTATATATATGTAATATAAAAGATAAAATACAATTGAATAATTACAATAAATAGTGTGTGTAATACACACACACACACATATATTTATATGTAGGCTATATACATACAATTGTTGTATGTGCACTCGTTACAGTGTAATTATACAACTAAATACTGACTAATATTAATTAACATTTACTATAAAATTAAGCTTATAATTTGGTTTAGGAATAGTTATTACTATAGTAATGACACATAAGATGTATAACAAGGACACTAAAATAAAGTGTTACCTATTAACTGATTAAAAAAATGTAACATTATAATTATCAAAATCCGGTGTAATTATCATCATGTAATTATCAAAACCCCACAAAAAAAAAAAAAAAAAAAAAAAAAAAATGCTTTCACAAATTATACTTTGTTGAAACTTTTTATTTTCAGGGCAATACAAAAAATACTTTCGTGACCAGATAAATATTATACATACAGCATTTTAATGTTCATTATTATTATTATCATTATTAATGTCACTATGTCAGTTGATTAAAGACAGCCCTAACTCTAGTTCAAAAGAAGGCGATAGTTCTTGCTGTTTACCACATGTTCAACCACATATTGCAATATCTTCATTATAGCTATAACTCGAAGTAAAAAAACTAAACAAAAAAAACGTGGTTTATTGAAATGAAAAGCAAGATAACCTTGTTCTTTTTTGGGACACTTTAATATTCTACTTCACGTGGACAAGCTGAAAGCAGTCAGTGCTGACAGAAACAATCACATCCTTCCTTTTCCTACTCGTGGTTTGTTCATTTGTAGTGAAGCTGTACATCTAAATAGTTAATCGTGCGGCAGTATAGCGGCCTGCCAAGGCAAGTGCTTCTTTAGGCCTCAGTAGGTACAATATTGCAGAACAGAATCAAACGGCCGCCCAATGGACGTCAGATTTAGTCACCATACTCGGCTTAGACTGGAAACAACGCTGTACACATCCAAAGCTAGTTCGAACAGGACAAAGGACATCTGCTTCACGCATTTAAAGACGGACGATGCTTATACTTGCTCAGTATTGGTAGACGGAGCTCTGTTGCTGATCCGAAACACCTTAACATTAAATTCCAGTGAAATCTGGTCCTTAAGCAGCATAAAAGAGCAACTTGCACACACTGAGCTACTGCAGAAGTCAGAATAAGGCACTATGACACAATGCAGTCCAGATCTGAAGTCACAACAGTCAGTTCTCATCTTTTAAGTGCCACACGTTATTCTACGCAACACAAACAGGAAATGAAACGGGAATTACACACTCTTAAAAGATTCCACTGGGATTTTCACGATACATGATAAGCAGAAGAGATGTGTTATTTGCAGGTAAGACTACACTGCGCTTCGTGCTGTGTTCCTAACAGCCATGCAGGTACAATCTCAAACAGGAAGTTGATCTGCGGTGGATCTATTGCAAAGTAGATCTCAAAAAGACTACAAATGCGAGCATATGTGTTTTATGAGAGCTGTGATATTAGAAAGTACAACACTGAGATTCTGGCTGCGTTCAGAATGGAATACTAGCGCTCCGCGTACTGCATACTGCACAGTATATACTGTATACTGCCTACTATTGTTTTAAAAAATAGCATGTGAAACAGTGGATTATTAAGATTCAATGATATACATTTCAGACGGTAAGTATGCTACATTGTTGTCACATGACCTTGCCACGTAGCCTGTTTGGCGCAATTTGTGTAAAGTTCTTCTAACACAGCTCTAGATGCACGTTATATTTGGAATGAAATGCTAGCATTCTGCGTATTCAATACTTAAAATAGTATACACTGTTTACTGTCTACTATTTAAAAAAAATAGCATGTTGAATAGTGTGCAGTATGCAATCAGCAATGTGTTATATCGTTGACACACCTCAACACATTTAATTCAGATTGCTTTCAAAAGGTTTTTCGGATTTTTATCCAATTATGTGCAAAAAATACGGAAATGTTGCTGCAAATTAAAGATGTGTAGTATGCTAGTATGCTATTTCGAATACAGCCAAAATTGTGTCTGGTATTATTTTTCTGTTCATTCATCACATTGGAAATAAAAAACGAATTTGAGCACACTGCATTGTGGGATATAGTGTTCCACACAGTGTACCGTTTCTCCATACTGCACATTTTGGCAAATATAGTAGGTCGTCTGGTTATTTCAATAAAGAAAATCTGCATACTGTGCAAAGTGTAGTGTGTTATATTGTTGAAACATGACCTAATTATTATGCACATTTAATTTGTGTCCAACCGTCTTGAAATGTTTCACTTTTTCCCCCACATTTTTTCAAATAGGCCTATTCTATTATTATTATTTTTTAAATTTTGATGCATATAAAAGATATAAAAAAAGATATGTAGTGTGTCAATTTGAAATCGGCCAAAATTGAGGCTTTGCATACTGTGCAAAGTATGCATCTGCAGAAATAGTATGAGTAGTATGGTAGTGTGTTAATCCGAACATATCCATTGTGTTTGGGCAAACCTCATTCCTGCCCACCTGACTAAGCTCACACCCAGAGGAACCATGGGAAACCTTACAATCTAGGATACAGCTGAGGTATGAAGAGACGACTGAATGAAACAATTTGCGTGAATTGAAAGAACTGAAAGACATGATACTTCCTTAATCCGTAGAGCCCTCAACTTGACCTACAAAAGCAAAGAGAAGCTGGAAGCTACTCGAATAAAGTTCTGCTAAGAATAAATAACACGACAAAGAGCACCAGTACATTCTTTCCTTATAGCTAGCTAGAATTCATAACCTTGCTAACATAATCCAGTTCTAGAGTGGCACATGTATGAATCGAGCAGTGCATTCAAGAGGCGTTTGAAACTGGGATTTTCACGATACATGATAAGCAGAAGAGATGTGTTATTTGCAGGTAAGACTACACTGCGCTTCGTGCTGTGTTCCTAACAGCCATGCAGGTACAATCTCAAACAGGAAGTTGATCTGCGGTGGATCTATTGCAAAGTAGATCTCAAAAAGACTACAAATGCGAGCATATGTGTTTTATGAGAGCTGTGATATTAGAAAGTACAACACTGAGATTCTGGCTGCGTTCAGAATGGAATACTAGCGCTCCGCGTACTGCATACTGCACAGTATATACTGTATACTGCCTACTATTGTTTTAAAAAATAGCATGTGAAACAGTGGATTATTAAGATTCAATGATATACATTTCAGACGGTAAGTATGCTAAATTGTTGTCACATGACCTTGCCACGTAGCCTGTTTGACGCAATTTGTGTAAAGTTCTTCTTCTAACACAGCTCTAGATGCAGGTTATATTTGGAATGAAATGCTAGCATTCTGCGTATTCAATACTTAAAATAGTATACACTGTTTACTGTCTACTATTTAAAAAAATAGCATGTTGAATAGTGTGCAGTATGCAATCAGCAATGTGTTATATCGTTGACACACCTCAACACATTTAATTCAGATTGCTTTCAAAAGGTTTTTCGGATTTTTATCTAATTATGTGCAAAAAATACGGAAATTTTGTTGCAAATTAAAGATGTGCAGTATGCTAGTATGCTATTTCGAATACAGCCAAAATTGTGTCTGGTATTATTTTTCTGTTCATTCATCACATTGGAAATAAAAAACGAATTTGAGCACACTGCATTGTGGGATATAGTGTTCCACACAGTGTACCGTTTCTCCATACTGCACATTTTGGCAAATATAGTAGGTCATCTGGTTATTTCAATAAAGAAAATCTGCATACTGTGCAAAGTGTAGTGTGTTATATTGTTGAAACATGACCTAATTATTATGCACATTTAATTTGTGTCCAACCGTCTTGAAATGTTTCACTTTTTCCCCCACATTTTTTCAAATAGGCCTATTCTATTATTATTATTTTTTAAATTTTGATGCATATAAAAGATATAAAAAAAGATATGTAGTGTGTCAATTTGAAATCGGCCAAAATTGAGGCTTTGCATACTGTGCAAAGTATGCATCTGCAGAAATAGTATGAGTAGTATGGTAGTGTGTTAATCCGAACATATCCATTGTGTTTGGGCAAACCTCATTCCTGCCCACCTGACTAAGCTCACACCCAGAGGAACCATGGGAAACCTTACAATCTAGGATACAGCTGAGGTATGAAGAGACGACTGAATGAAACAATTTGCGTGAATTGAAAGAACTGAAAGACATGATACTTCCTTAATCCGTAGAGCCCTCAACTTGACCTACAAAAGCAAAGAGAAGCTGGAAGCTACTCGAATAAAGTTCTGCTAAGAATAAATAACACGACAAAGAGCACCAGTACATTCTTTCCTTATAGCTAGCTAGAATTCATAACCTTGCTAACATAATCCAGTTCTAGAGTGGCACATGTATGAATCGAGCAGTGCATTCAAGAGGCGTTTGAAGCTTATCGTCACGCGAGCGAATAATGAAAGCTTATGGTCTGACATCACACTATAAGTAAATTTTATAAGTAAATTTTGTCTGGTTTGCGGCTTCCAGCTTCAGATATTAATAGTTTCACATTGGTTGCATTATAAAACATGACACACTGACATTGTGTAGGATTAGTTATCGAGATTCTTACGGTAAGATATCGCCAATGTGTGGCATACTATTGATACATAAAACACACAATCACGCACACGCTCGATCAAACCTCTAACAAGTGCTTAACACCTTAATACATGATTAAAAAAACAAGAACAAAAAATATTAGCCCTATGTAAGACGAAATCCATTCATACCCCAACATACAGCCAAATCAGTGGCGGTAGTCCCATGTGAGCCAATCACATTTAACTTTAACAAGTCACCTGACAGTTACACAACCAATGACGTGTGACATCTCTAGCTCTGTATATAAGGAGCAGTCAATCATCCATAACAATCATGATCCGATGGATATCACGTCCAATCAGACGAGGCGTGTTCAGCTCTGGTCTTCTCGCAGTTCGCTGGGCAGGAACTTGTATTGTTGCTGTCGGATGTGGGCGAGTTTCTTCCGGGCTTCTTCTAACTCCCTCTCCTTTCTGAGCATCTCCTCCTGTGCTGCAATGATCTGGAAATAATGCAAAACTATTAGTCACTGAATAGGCAACATTTATGAAAATTGAGCAGAACAAATTCCTGTGTAAATCATTAAAAAAAACGATTCTTGTGTAAATTGTTGCACTGCGATATAACTACGAACAATTTATAAAAAATTCCTTCCGCTGTGACATGACATGAGAATGCACATGCAAAATTGTACGTTACAATGGACTTACAAACATGCAGATTCTTTCTGCTCATGTTTCAAAAACATGAATGGTAAATGTGACAGTTTACAGACTAGAATTAAGATCAGTTCAAACATGGTTTCACAGATGAATTACACAAACTCATTCTACTCGTTTCATGCATGAATGTAACATGATTATGACCATTTATGTAAGAAAGATTACCATAGAAATTCTTTCTGGTTATGGTCCATGAATGAATGCAAAAATGTACTCAAAAACAGTTTACACAATTTTTTTTGACTTGTGTTCTCTGAATGCGACAAATGCAAATGAATACAATTTACGCAAGAATGAGTTACACAAACTTGTTCTTGTTGCATTCATGAACGTGATGATAATGCAACAAATGACTGTAATGGAATGGTTTTATGAGCAATTATAAAATGCATTTTTTCTGTTTCATGCACAAATGCAATATGACTGCAGATCATTGTGGCAATTTATGCAAGAATGTTTTATACAGGTTTGTTTGCTTAAGTTGCATGCATGCAAGAAATGCAGATGAATTCAATTGGTTTTCACAGATTCATTCATTCTGTTTCATATGCATGAATGTGACAAATGCATCAAATTACATAAGAATGGTTTTTACCAACAATTACCACCAATTCTTTTTGCTTGTGTTTTGTGAATAAATAAATACAACATCATTATGGCAATTCATGCAATAACGGTTTGTACAAATTAGTTTTGCTTGTGTTGCATGAATGCAAACGATAGCAGATGAATGCCATTTATGCAAGAATGATTTACACAGATTCTGCGTGTTTCAAGCATTAACTCAACAATTTACGCAAGAATTGTTTTATAAACAATGTGTACAGAAATTCTTTCTTTTCATGTTTCACGAATGAGTGCCAATATTTGTATACAATGTTAAAGTTTCAGATCTAAAACTTGGTCTGCAATCAGTCCTGCCGATTGTTTAAAACCAGTTTCCTTAGATGAAGACAGCCAAATCTTTTGCAGTACTATGATACATAAATAACGCTTACTACATATAGCCAAGGAAAAATGCCAAGGGATGTTTTTTCTTCCAGTTTTTTCCCCCCCCAAAGTAGTTTTTCCTTCTGCTGCTTTCTTAGTGACAGATAGAAAACGCTTCATATTCTTTACTGGAATGTGTAAGTTTAGCATAACTGTACTGCAAAAAAAGTGGGACTGGATCTGCAATAGACATCCAGTTATTATCCAAAGAGTGTAACATTTTTGTGGATTTAAGGAATGGGACGGCTAGATCAAGGCTTGACCTTCTGAAGAGGGACTGACTCGGTACAAAAACTTCTTTTTGTTGTGCTGGCAACGATTCGAGGGTGCATGCAAACACTCACGCCATCCACTCAACGGACTTTCTCAGATGTTAAGAATATTCCAGTGCCCTCTCAAGATGAAGACAAGACATGAAGGCATTCTGGGAGGAAGGAAGCTTTGAATAGGCAGACACACAGTCTTTAATTTGTGCATCTGGCCCGGGATGAAACGTGAAAATGAGCTGTTTGTGGATACAGCGGCCCGGCGTAAGATGCCAGCTGTAGATGCTTGGTACAAATCCACAGCTTTCAAATCCCGCTGATGGATCCACAATGCAGTTCTAAATGTCAAATCTCTTTTCAATTGAGCAGCATCACTTCAGAAGTCAAGGAATATTCAAAAACTGCTGTGGACGAACAGATTCAGACTTTTTTTTCTCTGTGGGAACATGGGAAGAATCTCACCTGAGCGATTCCACCTACGAATTTAGTTTTAACCACGACGCTGTTGTCTTCGGATTTATCGAAGGCTGCTTTCTGCGCTGCCTTCACCAGGTTGTCAGATGCTCTCTTGACGGCATTACCAGCAGCCTGTGCAAACACAAAAAAACAAATAATAATAATAAACTACAACTTAGTTGTTGTTTTTCACTTAGAACTCATATAATTTTGTATTATTCAAGTGATTGTAACCTGTAATCTCCTCATGGCCTCTGAGTCCTGGTTTGCTTTGACTTTACAGGCCACCAGCAGTTGAGCGGTGGAAGCCGCCACCTGTTTGGCAGAGGAAATGAGCTTCTCCTCGCTGGCGTGACCCTGGACTGAAGCGTTGGCAGCCTCACACAGGCTACTAGTGGCGGCCGCAACCATCCGAGCCTAAAAGAGGGAAGGATTCAAATTATAATAGTCATTTAGCTGATGCTTCTGGTCAAAGCAACTTTACATCTATTGCAATGGTGATAACTTCAACTTACTGCTGATATCAGACCTTGGGACCACTGGCCATCATCTACTGCATTGGCAGGGATGGAGCCCACCTACATCAAATACCAAAAATATTAAAAAGTGTCAATGTTATTTATGTACTATTATAGAACGTATTAATATCTTTAATTGTGCTTTTATTTTTAAATTTAAATGAAATTTTCAAGTTAATTTTTCTATTTAGCTTTAATTTATTTTTATTTCAGTTTTAGTTTGAATAATTTTAGCGATTTATTTAATTCAGTTAGTTGCCAAGGCAATTTCTGTTTCAATTTTTGAAGTGTTATTTCAGCTTTATATCAATTAACAAAAAGATTTATAATAGCAATAACAACACTGAAAAGTAGAAAACTTTGTACGTGTAAAAAATATATGCGTTAAATGATTTTAGCACCTTGCCCTGTGCTACGAGCTCTCTCTGGGCGGCCGATGCAGATTTGACCAGAGCGCTGGTTGCTGCAGCGATGGATTTCGCCGCTTCCAGGATCTGCTCCTCAAAGTCAAGAGACTCATCGGCTTGCTGCGAAAATAAGAAAGCAAGAGATATAACAAACTGTGGATTATCACCTTATTAAGTGTAATGAATACTCTTGCTTTATCTATGCTAATTGATAACAATTCTCTCACCAAGCCATTACTTCAAAACCATTTAAGGGAACGGAGATTTTATTATCTGTTATTATACTATGAATCTTTTTTTTTTTTTTAGCAAGACACACAGATTTTCACCAACTGGTTAATCAAACACCACATCCTGAAGGTTGACATGCGTTCCACGATACAACCAAAGAGTAATAGTTTGTTCAGAATAACATATTACTAGTCTGCTTGTAATACACTTCGAGTATGCAGCATGTACATGGTGCACAGAATGCTTATTTTCTGTATGCATGAAATGTGACACTGGAATTGGAAGGTTGAAAAAAATTGCATTGTGGGATATAGTAATCCATGCAGTGTGGATTTTGGCATTTGCAGTAAACATTTTGGTAAATGCAGTAGATATTCCATGCATATGTGCATACATTGAAAAATTTATATAATGCATACTGCAATAAAACTGCACAAGTAGTATGATAATATGCTATTTTGAACAAACACTTTATTTCATTATGTTCCAAATGGAATACTAGCCTACTGGATACTGTGCAGCATATACAGACAAACATTTTTAAAAACAGTAAGTGAAACAGATGGTAATACAGAAATTAAAAATGTTTCTAACAGCAGTATGCCACACTGTTGTCACATGATGTGAAAATAACATTTACTTTGCACTTTGAATCCATTTTGTTTTAAAAGTTTGATAAAATAATGATTAGTGATGTTGAAAATGTTGTCAATATTACTTCTGGTTCATTTATAAAACTGTAAATGGAAGGTTGTATTAAGTGCATTGTGGGGTATAATAATCCTTGCAGTGTGCTCTTGTTATATACTGAACTTTTAATGAACATTTGGAGCAAACAGCATACTACATACTGCATTAACAGTATGAGTAGTATGGCAGTATGCTATTCCAAACACAGTCAAGGCGATGAAAGGGAGAAGGTGAGATGTAACTTCAACAAAGTGATCTGAGGGTGACACCTTGTGGCATGGTGGTGCCAATTCTTAGGTTCACACTGTTCAGAATCAACAGCGTCAAAGCAAATGGCACAATTCTAACGGACCTAAGACACACCCTTGCGTGCCACCTACACAAACTGATCTGTCTGAAGTCACAAAAACACACGTTCATGAACAAGTCATAAACAGAACACACACAAGTCTGGAGACAGAGCAGGGCACTGTAGGAATATGTTTGATATATAGTTGGACAGAATAACAACCTAATATATCAAACATATCAAACAGAGCCCTGCAGAAAGACTTCCAGGTCTACCTCACCTCCAGAACATGGGGAAAGAGAGGAGAGGATAGGAGAGCACAAGAGAGCAGGGCATGCTGGGATAGCAGGGAAAAGACAAGGATGGGTAAAGGAGAGAAGGCAAAAGAGGAAAGTGAGGAATGAAGATTAGGGGAAATATTGCATAGTGATATGTGCTGAATTTCAACCTCATTAAATCAAGTAACAGTGAATAAACATGTTAATGTGCTATAAACCAGTTCAGAATGTTTATTGGGGTGTGATGTAGAGATCTAAATGTGAGACAGTCTGTGAAATGTGGTTTAGCAGAGTCTGCAAAGGCTAATGAAATGAAAAATCAACAATGAATGTCTGAATGGACTGAAGGTGACAACATTACACAAACTTCTGTTCATCCTTCTTTCCAGAATATATGAACCTGACCTGACTAACACGACACAGTGAGACAGAGAGTTAAAGAGCAGAGGGAGGGATAGACAGATATACAGGCATAATAATAGATAGACTGAAATAGATAGAACTAAAGACAGAATGAAAGATACAGAAAGACAGACAGAACAAACCATAGACTGAATGATAGACAGAACATTAGATGGTCTGTCTTTCTGTCTATCTGTGGTTCATTCTAATCAACAGACATACAGAAGGATAGAACAGACAGACAGATGAACAGACAGACGAGGCACAAAGAGATTGATGGACAGACATATTTTTAGTAGCCTAGTATGCAGAGTTTCGGTTAATTTTTGTGCTGTGCGAAAGGAAACCAGACGGCACACAGCGGCATCCTATTTTTCTTTAGGCTTATTTTACAAAAGCACAAACATTTGTTTTTATTGTTAATGTATACAAATAAAGGCAAACCTTTTACAATTCCGTTTATCTTTATGACTAAAAGAAGTAGTTTCTTCCACTGTTAGAAGGAAAAAATGTAAGTGATTGCGCCGGCGCCGCATGCGCGCACACAGTTAAGCGTTGCTACCTTGACAATGCAGCCTGTTCATTATTATAATAAAATACAGTCAGTCAAACATATGGAAAAACAAAATGTAGTAAAAAAAATATGTAGAAAAATCTGTGCTGTTAAGCGTTATCACCACACTGCCGTGATGTTATGCAAAACATTTTGTTTGACGTGGATATTGGAACGCGAGTGAAGTAAATAATAAATAATAATTTGCCATTCAAATACATCGCGAATACAAAAACATTTGATTTTGTGTGGAATGAGAGACCCAACTGTGGTTTCAGTTTGGTTTTAGCCTAAATTAATTCGTTTTGGCTTGTCGTTTATATTGCTATAGCTTCTTATATTTGTAATTCTTGTTCTTTTCTAAATACTGTTAATTGAAAGGATTTGTTGAGGGGAACTAAAATAGCCTAGCTATGTTTGTAAACATTTCACGTCGGCATTAGGCCTATTTCTGAATTAAATAATACAATTTCCCCATTTTTTAATACACATAGCGTATTTTAACCATGCAGCAAACCTTTTTTAAATATTTTGATAAATTACTGAAAAAATAAATAATTAAATGACTTTTTAAACCGTTTAACTGATTGTATTAATCGGTCAAAATTCTTACGGTCGGTTAACCGGTTAAAATGAACATCCCTGATAGATAGATAGATAGATAGATAGATAGATAGATAGATAGATAGATAGATATACAGACAGACAGATAGATATACAAACAGACAGACAGAAATATAGATATAAAGACAGACAGATAGATATACAAACAGACAGACAGAAATATAGATATACAGACAGACAGATAGATATACAAACAGACAGACAGAAATATAGATATACAGACAGACAGATAGATATACAAACAGACAGACAGAAATATAGATATACAGACAGACAGATAGATATACAAACAGACAGACAGAAATATAGATATACAGACAGACAGATAGATATACAAACAGACAGACAGAAATATAGATATACAGACAGACAGATAGATATACAAACAGACAGACAGAAATATAGATATACAGACAGACAGATAGATATACAAACAGACAGACAGAAATATAGATATACAGACAGACAGATAGATATACAAACAGACAGACAGAAATATAGATATACAGACAGACAGATAGATATACAAACAGACAGACAGAAATATAGATATACAGACAGACAGATAGATATACAAACAGACAGACAGAAATATAGATATACAGACAGACAGATAGATATACAAACAGACAGACAGAAATATAGATATACAGACAGACAGATAGATATACAAACAGACAGACAGAAATATAGATATACAGACAGACAGATAGATATACAAACAGACAGACAGAAATATAGATATACAGACAGACAGATAGATATACAAACAGACAGACAGAAATATAGATATACAGACAGACAGATAGATATACAAACAGACAGAGAGGAATGAAGATTAGGGGAAACAGTAAAGAAAGCTCCAGGGGTGATAATAAACACCAATGACATTGCATCGTGATATGTGCTGAATTTCAACCTCATTAAATCAAGTAACAGTGAATAAACATGTTAATGTGCTATAAACCAGTTCAGAATGTTTATTGGGGTGTGATGTAGAGATCTAAATGTGAGACAGTCTGTGAAATGTGGTTTAGCAGAGTCTGCAAAGGCTAATGAAATGAAAAATCAACAATGAATGTCTGAATGGACTGAAGGTGACAACATTACACAAACTTCTGTTCATCCTTCTTTCCAGAATATATGAACCTGACCTGACTAACACGACACAGTGAGACAGAGAGTTAAAGAGCAGAGGGAGGGATAGACAGATATACAGGCATAATAATAGATAGACTGAAATAGATAGAACTAAAGACAGAATGAAAGATACAGAAAGACAGACAGAACAAACCATAGACTGAATGATAGACAGAACATTAGATGGTCTGTCTTTCTGTCTATCTGTGGTTCATTCTAATCAACAGACATACAGAAGGATAGAACAGACAGACAGATGAACAGACAGACGAGGCACAAAGAGATTGATGGACAGACATATTTTTAGTAGCCTAGTATGCAGAGTTTCGGTTAATTTTTGTGCTGTGCGAAAGGAAACCAGACGGCACACAGCGGCATCCTATTTTTCTTTAGGCTTATTTTACAAAAGCACAAACATTTGTTTTTATTGTTAATGTATACAAATAAAGGCAAACCTTTTACAATTCCGTTTATCTTTATGACTAAAAGAAGTAGTTTCTTCCACTGTTAGAAGGAAAAAATGTAAGTGATTGCGCCGGCGCCGCATGCGCGCACACAGTTAAGCGTTGCTACCTTGACAATGCAGCCTGTTCATTATTATAATAAAATACAGTCGGTCAAACATATGGAAAAAAAAAAATGTAGTAAAAAAAATATGTAGAAAAATCTGTGCTGTTAAGCGTTATCACCACACTGCCGTGATGTTATGCAAAACATTTTGTTTGACGTGGATATTGGAACGCGAGTGAAGTAAATAATAAATAATAATTTGCCATTCAAATACATCGCGAATACAAAAACATTTGATTTTGTGTGGAATGAGAGACCCAACTGTGGTTTCAGTTTGGTTTTAGCCTAAATTAATTCGTTTTGGCTTGTCGTTTATATTGCTATAGCTTCTTATATTTGTAATTCTTGTTCTTTTCTAAATACTGTTAATTGAAAGGATTTGTTGAGGGGAACTAAAATAGCCTAGCTATGTTTGTAAACATTTCACGTCGGCATTAGGCCTATTTCTGAATTAAATAATACAATTTCCCCATTTTTTAATACACATAGCGTATTTTAACCATGCAGCAAACCTTTTTTAAATATTTTGATAAATTACTGAAAAAATAAATAATTAAATGACTTTTTAAACCGTTTAACTGATTGTATTAATCGGTCAAAATTCTTACGGTCGGTTAACCGGTTAAAATGAACATCCCTGATAGATAGATAGATAGATAGATAGATAGATAGATAGATAGATAGATAGATATACAGACAGACAGATAGATATACAGACAGACAGATATACAGACAGATAGATATACAGACAGACAGATAGATATACAAACAGACAGACAGAAATATAGATATACAGACAGACGAGGCACAGAGAGATTGATGGACAGACAGATATATTGATAGATAGATAGATAGACAGACAGACATATACGGGACGATAGATGGATGTTGTCTCTCTGTACAGTATTCCGCCTGTGGCAGTAAATGTTAATCACTGAGACACTCAAGGGGGGAAACAGTTTCAGCTCTGAGTGGCAAAATGTGGATGAATGCTTTTTTTTTTAGGTGAAAAGAATCACTGACAGCTAAACTATAATACAGATGGATGAAACAATAAAAGAGCTTCAGGGAAAATCATTTCTAAAAAGTGCTGACCTTCTTGGAGATGAGTTTCAGATAGACTGACTAAAAGTTCAGCATGCTCTAAAACGAAACTTCACAATACTGAACAATTGAGATGCAAGACGGATCACAAAAAAGCCCAGCAAACCAAAACCCAGACGATCATTTCAAGTTCAGTGCTCACCAGTCTGCAAAATATAAATTGTTAATGTACAAAAAAAACAAATAAAATGTTACGCAGATGTGCGCAAACTTCCCAAACACCACGAAAATACAAAAACACCACATCCTGAAGTCTTGAAGTCCTAAAATTACAAAAATAACATCACCTCCCCTCAAATATAAAATAGGAATGAAACGTTCCCGCAGCCTTTGGTGGAAATGATCTGACATAGTTGTGTTGGCGGGCTGATCACAGCATTGTGTGTGTGTGTGTTTGGATTCAGAAGATGGATGGAAGGATACCTTTGGTTTGGCTCTGGGCTTCAGCTGCTCCAGTTTCTTAGCCGCGGCCTCGATGGACGCAGCAGCACCCAGGAGCTCTGTCTCCGCTATCACCGTGGGGTCTTCTGGGTCCACCCACTCTGAACCTGAGAGGATGTGCAAACAATGTCAACATGACCCTAATTTTAAATGCACTTACAATGTTTATATATAATACATGCACATGGAAAGATTAAACATATGACATGAAAAAAAAAGCATGCGATTCAAACCAAAAAGAAAATCACATTCCACCATAAGACCCTTACAAAAATAAATCCTACTTTTATGAAGCCCCCAATTTTTACAGAAAATTTTTAAAAATGATAATAAATATATAATATATAAAATATAATAAATAATAATGACAATTTATGATAAATGATAATGCTAATGTATGATAAAGAACGGATGCCACAACCTTTAATAACTATAACTTTAAGGTAAACACAGTGCTGACTGGCAGGTCATTACAGGCACAATCATTCATTAATTGCTTAGATGAACGTGCACATCTTTATGTTAATAGCCATTTATGGAGCAAATATGCTTCGCAATACATTCTCCTTTACCAACGTTTAAGAGGGACTAAAAGACGTCGGTTTTGTTCAAACAGCTTGTGAAAACAGACGGTGAGAATGTGTTTGAGGATTATGTTAAACCTGAGGGAATTCAATTCTATCCCTTCTTCTCTTTTCTCTCACACTATAACTCATTGTATGAGTGTGTGTCCATGCTGGTCAGTATTCCGTCTCTATGTGTGTGGCCTGATATTGGAGAAAAACAACACTGTGTATCATACTCACCTCCATCTGTGGCAGAAAAGGAAAAAACAACAAAGTAGTGTTATAGAAAAGAGCAAGAGAATGCCTTCAGCCCAATGGCTGTATTAAACCTGCACAAATTCAGCTCAATCGACCTGCCCCCATTAGCTCTCAAACTCATATACCATTACCAGGCCTGCATGAGATCTGTGCTCGCGGAAAGCTCAGCAGAATTTGACAACCCATCATTTGCAAAATTAAATTAAATTAAATGTGTTAGATTTTTTCATTATAATTGGATTTTGGAATAAATATTTAAAAAAAGACAATACTGATTTTTTTGGGTTGATAATTATAGTGCAAATAGAACTATATTTAGAGGAATAATTCACCCCAAAATTACAATTAGCTGAAAATGACCTACCCTCAGGCCATCCAAGATGTAGATGAATTTGTCCCCCTATTGCCCTCTCACATAAAAATCCATTAAGATATTGGTTTACTTTTGGTCTGTTTTTGCTTGCAAATGGTGTTTGATCTGTGCATTTTCTCTCCTGATTCAGACGAGACGAGTTTTTCCACAATATTATGTATAGAGGACTCATATTTTTTTGCTGGAAGCAACAGTTTGAAATGAAAAACATCTTAATTATGGACTTAGCTTTTCACTTCACAAGATGATTACTTGTGGATTACTGTGATTTTTTTAATAAATTACTTGGCCTCTCATTCTGATGGCACCCATTCACTGCAGAGGATCCACTGGTGAGCAAGTGATCCAATGCTACAGTACATTTCTCAAAATCTGTTCCGATGAAGAAACAAACTCATCTACATCTTGGATGGCCTCAGGGTTCAGAGTTCATTTTCAGCAAATTTTCATTTTTTGGGTGAACTATCCCTTGATTACAAGTCTTTTTTATTTACATAATTGTAGTAAGAAATTATTTTAATCAATTTTTTCACATTAATTGTGTTGCTCCATCAATATTCAATAAAAACTAATTTGGGACAAAAACAAAAAAACAGAATTTTCCTTGCAGGACCTTCAATCCTATTGTAGCATATCCATTTGTGTGTGCTCACCTTTCATGGCTTCAGCAGTCTGGATGAGCTCCGTGACTGAGCCCGCCACTTTCTTGGACAGTGTGACCAACTGCTGTTTCTGTTCGGCCGTGGGTTTCTGCAGTACCTGTGTGGAGTAAACACACAAGGTTAATCCCAGAATCCCAAGCACAAAAACATCCTGTAAAAACTGTCAGCCCACTCACAAGCAGGACGTGTTCGAGCAAGTCGGTGTATCTGGCGGTGCACTCGATGCCATAGAGCAGAGCTTTATTCCTCACATCCTCACCCACTTCTGGGTGGTACGCGGCTTGCTGCAAGACATAAACACAAATTTATGGTATGTGATGATTAGCTCCAAATGGAATCTGCAGATTTTTGTAATTTTGAGGAAAAAATCTGTAGCTTTATAGGAATCTGTGGACTGTTGGAAATGCATTACATCATGACGACATTAGAGGGCGTAATTTAGGAGTCAAAAGTAGGTTAGTGCCAAATGAATTTGAGAAAGAGAGCAAATGTCATTCATTGTGCATTGTGTGTGAGCACAACAAACTAATTTTGTTGGTATTCAAGTGTTTGTGGATTTCCACTGCACAGTTGGTCAGCATACGGTGAGATTGTGTTTGTGTGAATGGGCATATGTGTGTGTGATGGTGGAAAGGCACCTTGCAGGTGGTCAGCATGTCGGAGATGGCTTTGCGGCTCAGGTTGGCAGTGGATATCACGTCCTCCTGCTGAGTAGAGTTGCCTGCTGCCACCGCTTTGGCCGTCGCTACGGTGATGCCCTTGGTCATGCGGATGAACTCTTCTGGGGTGGTAGATTTCTCCGGAACGTCCTTGGATTGGAAAACCTGGAAAGCAGATGATGCAACAGTCAGAGAAATGAAGAAATATTTTATACATAATAGAAATAAAATATCTGCAACTCTTCAGTGAATCATACATTTTTAGAATCAGTCAAATGACCAGGGCTGATTTTCTGTGCACTAATACAGTAATGCCATCATGATTTCCTAAAGTCCTGATGGGCATCTGATAACAGGAGCATTAAACCAGAAGATAAATCTCGTGCCTTCCTGTACCACTATCTCAATCTCTCACACGGCCTCTGATAAGTGGAGAAGGGACGCCCATGGGAGAAGGAGAACGAGGAGCAGGTGGAGAACAGGCAAAGCTCACAGGGTGTATTATTCTATATTACCAGTTTCATATCACAGATGGATGGGTTTTTACCTCTGTCTGGGGTAAAATTAATTAGGCTGGACCAAATTGCTACTAATTCACAGCCAGATTGTTATACAAGTTGATTGTATTAGCATCTTAATTAGGATCAAAATGAGCATGACATGTACTAACTAGTCCCAAGTGCTTAAAGGAATAGAAGAAGATATTTTGACAAATGTCTTCGTAGGGGTGGGCGATATGGCAAAAATATCATGTCACGATTTTTTTTCGGGAAAATCACGATTCACAATTTTATCACGATTCTTTGTCTTGTTGGTTTTACTATTTTGCATGTTGTCTGAGCAGTACAGCCAAACGAATTTTCGTATTTTAAAAACAAAGCTAACAAAGTAACAAAAAAGAATGGCAGATATTTAGGCCGAAGTGGGTGAAGATAAAAATCTGTGTCATTATTTTATCTTTGTTATTATAAAATAAGAACAAAGATACACATTACAAATACACATAACATACAAATAAAACAAACAATGCTTTTTTTCCCCCGTAGCATTCAAGAAATTGAATGAAGAAATATAAATATTAAACACTATATACTTTTAAATCAAGAGCAGTGAGTGATTTATCTCTGTTTTTTTTTGCTCTATTAACATTAAAGTGATAGTTCAGCCAAAAATAAAAATTATGTTACCATTTACTCACTCTCAAGTTGTTTTAAACTTGAATGAGTTTCTTTCTTCTGTTGCTCAAAGTTATTTTGAAGAATGTGGGTAAAAAAAACAGTTGCTGGTCACCAGTGACTTCCATAGTACAGTATTTTCCCCCCCTATTATCAAAGTCAATGGGGACCAGCAAATGTTTGGTTACCAACATTCTTCAAAATATATTCTTTTGTGTTCAACACAAGAAAGAAATTAATACATGTTTGGGACAACATGTGAGTGAGTAAATAATGACAGAATTTTATTTTTTGGGTGAACTATCCATTTAATGACAAGGGGCATCATGTTTAGTACTGATGCTTTAAGACCTGCACGCATCTAAAGGTGCGTTTACACCATATCGTAATTACTGTGATTATGAGATTCCAACTTGTAAAAAGCGGTCACATCCTCGTAATTATAACTTGTGAATTGGGAGTTTTCTGAGAGCTACAACTTGTACCACTACCACCTGACCACAAGAAAGAAATTAATACATGTTTGGGACAACATGTGAGTGAGTAAATAATGACAGAATTTTATTTTTTGGGTGAACTATCCATTTAATGACAAGGGGCATCATGTTTAGTACTGATGCTTTAAGACCTGCACGCATCTAAAGGTGCGTTTACACCATATCGTAATTACTGTGATTATGAGATTCCAACTTGTAAAAAGCGGTCACATCCTCGTAATTATAACTTGTGAATTGGGAGTTTTCTGAGAGCTACAACTTGTACCACTACCACCTGACCACCTAAGATTCATTAGGCGCTATGTTTAGGCATTGATAGTGCGATAGTTCTGAGTCCAAGGGTGTGAACACTTCCAAGTAGAACAACACGTGCTGTCATCTCGAAATTACAGTAATTATGACATGGTGTGAATGCAGCATAATATACAGGCACGCATCCGTTTTTCTCTCAACTGTCTACTTTCACTTTAGACATAACCAACTGTTTATATGAAAACCTTCTGTGTTTTTGTTATTAGCGCAATCAGATGCAAAAGATAACTTAGTCCAGAACAGGCGCTGTTTGACAGGCTTCTTAGTGTGAGTGAGCGTCAAATGTACGTGCTTAGAAAAAGCGCATGTCAGAACGAAATGTTTGAATGAAACTCACGATACTACGATATTTCTTCAAAAGCAGAATGTGGAGACATTTTAATCATCCAAGATAAAAAAATCGTGATATCGCACACCCCTATGTCTCAGTGTTTTTTTTAGTCCATACAATGTTGTTTAGATCCCATTGACTTTCAAAATATCTTCTATGTTCCACATACAGGTTTCAAATGGCATGAGGGTTAGAAAATAATGACTGTATGTACTTTTTTGAAGAACTCTTTAAAAGTGGGAAGCACATTATCTCTTTGAATATTTCAATATTCACACAAAGAATGTTGCATACAGTGAGTTCCTGTTTGATGCACTCAATAGTGGCTTCAAGAGCTCTCGTCCCGCGAGTGGCTTCATCTTCCACCGCTTTCACAGTTTTCAGTAGAGAGGTCACGTTCGTTACCATCACCTGTAACATCAGAAAACATAGGGAGGTCAAAGTCTTGGACGGTTTTGGAACTCCTTTTTCTGCTTTATGTATGATAGCTTAAGTGAGCTCAACTAGAGAATGTCAACAGTTTTGTGGCCAGTCTTTCACCTGACACACTGAAATAAGGTCAGATGCAATGCTATGACAAGAACAGCTGTACCAAACAGCTCAGTGAAATCAGAGAGGTCGAGCAGATTCTGTTCTTTGTAAGGTAAAAAACTCAAATCTATATATCTCAAAACATCAGAAAATGGTCAGGTGATTAAAAACTGGACCTTTTAATGGACTACAGCTGAGGTCAGTAATGGATTACAAATCTTGCTTTAGGCAAAGTTAAGCACAAAAGGATGAAGAAGGAAACCCAAGGAAATAAAAGGAGCCCTAAGACAAAGCCCTGTGGTATGCCACCACTACTTTAAACACACACTGAAGAAAAAAGTGCAATGAATGTCTGAAGCAAAATCCCAGAGGATCTGAAGTCACCATATGCTGGAGGAATGTAAAAAGTCTTTCCATGAAGGTCACAACAGCATAACAACTCAATATTTAAATATGCTAAATAAAACATATCATGTTGCATGTATGTGGAAGTTAATCCCAGAGGTTTAACAGCACCAGGTGAATGATTAAGGGATTAGAGAATGCTTGAAAATATGTGCGCTCTACATCAATTTCTGTTTAAACAAGCCTGGAGATAGTTTTATCACTTCATATAATAAACTGCGTGCTCTGATCCACAGAATAACTGCAGAAGTGAGTGCCATTATAATTTACTTTTAATTAGGATTACAAAATTAATCAGTATTGCCATGTAGCAAATCATACATGGCATTGGAGAGAAGACAGAAAAAAGAAGAGAGGAAGGGAAGGAAGCATTTCTTATGTTGTACACACACACAGCTTGGTTCTGTACCCTGCAGCGTGGCCACTGAGTCACTCACATATACACTATGATCACTGCAAGATAGGGTTTGATTTGTGGCCACACACCAAGATGACAGCAAGTGAAGACAGCACCCAGCCAAGAAAATGAGAGACAGGGCCAGCTGTTAGATAGGCGTAGGCGTGCACACACACACACACACACACACACACACACACACACACACACAAACACACAAACACAGTGATAGTCATCAGAATAAGATATGATCCTCACTAAGACGCCATAATGCTTTTCCTACAAACAGGAAATTACAGACACCCATGCAACATTCTTCAACCAAACATACCTTGGCAGCACTTTTCAGCTGATACATGGATGGATCATCTGCTGCCTTGCCTGCAGCACATTTAGTGGCACTAATCAGCTCAGCCAAAGCTTTAGCAACGTCTCTGATAGCGTTTATCAGTACCACCTGAAAGAGATAGAGAGAAGCCTTTATTCGCAACCACCTTTAGTCATGATATGCCACTAGCTTTATCCACTCCCATGATGCATTGCACACCTCCAGTGGTGCAGTTCTTTATCGGAACCACCTGTATAATAGCATACAAAACATTATGAAACATTAATCCTCAACAGGTCATTTAGATTTTGGCCAGAGATGTATCATGATACCTGCCATTGGCTGTAAGTCAGAGAGTGTCTGCACCCAAACGTCGAGACATTTGAGAGGAGAGCTAATGATATTCTCATTACACTGAGTCAGGGTGTGAAAAAGGATAAATATAGTACAGGATAAAAATATAGGAGCAGACAGAATTAGAACACATTGGAATTGGCAATTAAATTTTGGCGTTGTGAAAATCTATGACAGATTATGAAACACACAAACAGAGAAATGAGCACCTGTGTCTCGGGGTCCTCTGAGCCCATGCTCGCAGCGCCCAGTTTGACCACGTCAGTGAGCTGTGTGATGGTTTTGGCAGAGGACTGGGCCGCCTGGGCTAGTTTGTCCTGGCTCGATGCAGCACCAGACACAAGCAGCTTGGTGTCTTCAACCAAAGCTTTAGCGGTTTTCAATATGTTCTCTCTGAAGTGTGCAGAAACAAATACACTTCAGATAACACAACAGACACTATTTTTGGAGCTTAAGAATATGCAAAACATTCATAAAACAAACCTTTACCATTTTATGTATGTGATGCTGAAACTGTGGTATGCTCTACTAGGTCTCACCTGTGATCTGCGAAAGACTCTTCGTTCTCTGCGTTAAGTGTGCCGGCAGAGGCAAACATGATGGTGGTGTCCAGATCAGCGATGATGCCGGAGACAGAACTGGCTGCAGTTATACAGGCCTGAGTTCCTTTATTACCAGCCTGCAGGGCTGACAACACCATGGACACCTGCAGGAGACAGTGAATCACACTTCATTATAAACTCCATAGGCAGAGCAGGGACAGCTTTCTAAGCCTGCAGCACTTTTCTTGGGTGTCAGTAATTAAATGAATATTTCATTTAATGTACTAAATTTCTTTATTTAAATTATATATTTTTTATTTGTTAATAAAAAATGTTTTATTAACAAATATTATAATAATAACAATGAAGTTTCAGAAGGTTTTGGTTAATAATATAATTAAAATATTTGAATTAGAAATACATATTATATTATACCATACTGTATTGTATTATAACTATAAATAATTTGTTTTGAAAGGTGATTCAATATAATTACATCATTTATATAGTTTAACATAATATAAAATAAGATAACATATAATAATATTTAATAACAAATAACAATAATTCAAGAATGTTTTGTTTAATATATTATAATTATATAATTTAAATAGTTTAATAATTAAATTTAATTATATTATGTTGATTAATGTCAGTGCCCTTGTTTTGTCTCAAGATGCACAACAGATGTTTTTTTGACGTTTATAAAAATTACTTAAATGTTCTAATTGAACTATGGCCTAATCCTGACTTAGTCTAAACTCTGTCTGTGAAACCAGGACATAATTATAATAAATTAAACAAAATGTATTATTGCTATTTTGTTAAATATTATTTAACAAATAATATAATATAATTAATATAATATATCATATCATATCATGTGTTCCTACAAGCTACAAGTGACACAATGTAAACTGATCCTAGATCTGTATAAACATAACTGCTTCCACCATCATCAACAACATCAGAGAGACAAATATTGAGTGATGAGCTCTGACAAACAACTGAAAGAAAGATGGACAAGTCCATTAAAGTGAGACCATTACACTAACACTTTCAGAAAGAGAGACATACAAGAGAAATAAAGAACAATGGCGTTTTCTTCACGAGTAGACGAAAAACCATAAGGGAGGCATTCGAATGCGACCATCTCTATTCACATTTACTAGAGAAATGATTGCAGGCAGAGCTGAGGTTTGAACTGAATGGGGCCGGTGGGGGACGCGGACACATTTAACAGAGCTCATTTAAAGCAGTGAGGGGTCACAGCGCCACCACAGCGGGACAGACCAACTCCAGCTACTGAGATGTAATCAAAGACAATATGACACACTGATGAATGTCATCTACTCTATACATTCTCAACCGGGGCTTCCAGCATTCATTCAAAAAAAAAAAACAAACAAAAAAAAACTATGAATGAAAAGTGTAGTCATTGAAATGAGCAAGCTACTCTCATTGTGCCTGTCTGTGTTGTGTTTGCCAGGGTGCTGCTATGCGGTTTCTATGGTGTTGTCACTGGTTGTATGGCCTTTGCTATGTGGTTGATATGCTGTAGCAAGTTTAGTTGAAAGGGTGTTGTTATATGATTGCTAGGATGTTGAGGAGGGTAGCAAGGGTGTTGCCATGTCATTGCTAGGGTTATGGGTGGTTGCCGGTGTGTTGCTATGTGGTCACTAGGGTGATGTGGATAGTTTAAAAGGTGTTATGTGATTGCTACAGTGTAGTGGGTAGTTGAAAAAGTGTTGCTATGTTATTTCTAAGATGTTGCAGTGGATAGCAATGGCATTGCTATGTGGTTTCAAGGGCGTTATGGATGGTTGTTACGGTGTTGATATAAGGTTGATAGGGTGCCATGGGTAGTTGAAAAAGTGTTGCTATGAGGTTGCTAGGATGTTGTAGATTGTCACATGAGTGTTGCTATGCCATTGCTAGGGAGTTGGTGGCTGCATGGGTGTTGCTATGCTATTACTAAGGTGTCAAGGGTAGTTGAAGGTGTTGCTATGCGTTTGCTAAGGTATGGTTATGTTATTTTTAGGGTGTTGTTGGTGGTTGCCAATGTGTTGTTAGGGTGTTGCGGGTGGTTGCATAGGTGTTTCTGTGCTATTACGAAGGTGTCGTCAGTAATCAACAGGGTGTTGCTATGGTATTTTAGGGTGTTTTTGGTGGTTGCCAATGTGTTTCGAGGGTGTTGTGGGTAGGCGACAGAGTGTTCCAATGTTATTGCTAGAGTGTTGTGGGTGGTTGCACAGGTGTTTCTGTGCTATTACTAAGGTGTCGTCAGTAATCAACAGGGTGTTGCTATGCTATTTTAGGGTGTTTTTGGTGGTTGCCAATGTGTTTCTAGGGTGTTGTGGGTAGGCGACAGAGTGTTCCAATGTTATTGCTAGAGTGTTGTGGGTGGTTGCATAGGTGTTTCTGTGCTATTACTAAGGTGTCGTCAATAATCAACAGGGTGTTGCTATGCTATTTTTAGGGTGGTTTGGGGGTTGCTGATGTGTTGCTGGGGTGTCGTGGGTAGTCAACAGGATGTTGCAATGTTATTGTTAGGGTGTTGTGGATGGTTGCATAGTTATCAGTAATCAACAGGGTTTTGCTATGCTATTTTTTTAGGGTGTTGTTGCTGATTGCCACTGCATTGCTAGGGTGTTGTGGGTAGGCGACAGGGTGTTGCTATGTTACTGCCAGGGTGTTGTGAGTGGTAACACTCCTCTCTAAAGTCCTTATGATATTCTGGTCTCTACATAAGACTTTGGTCCCTCCTTCAATATAAGTTTAAATATAATTTTTAACTGTTTTATTGTTCACAATGTGAATATGTGCACCGGGGTTCCCAACCACATTCCTGGAGCCCCCCCAAAACTGCAAGTTTTCCATGTCTCCTTAATCAAACACACCTGATTCAGATTATCAGCTCATTAGTAGGGACTCCAAGACCTGAAATGGCTGTGTCAGACAAAGGAGAGATGCAAATTGTGCAGTGTTGGGGGGGGCTCCAGGAACGTGGTTGGGAACCACTGCCTTAGCAATGTAACATACTTCTAAATAAATCAGCAGTATTTGCAAGCGTACTCAGAAGAGGCTTTTAAAACATTATTTTCTAATACGGTAATGAAAAGTTAATAGAAACAAAAATGTATGCAGCAAACCGAACAGAATAACAGCCTCCCATATCCTGAGCGAGCCTACCTTCTCTGTGACGGCACGGGCGTATTCGATCAGCTCTCTCTTGGTGAAACTGTCCGTCGGGCTCATCTGCAGGGCTCCAGCCTTCTGGACCAGATAGATGCAGCCGTGACCCAACTCCTGCACCCGAGTCTTGATCTGAGATCCCACCTGGAAATACAGCCATGACATCAAGTCTAAGAAAGAGTTGGCATCCAAGTCAGCCTGAATCTTGGTCTAAATCCGAATGTATTCGTGCTCTGCGACTGCTCTAAAAGCCACTGCCTCCGTTCAATAAAACTCTATCCAATAATTAAGAAGTGATTGTGACGGCCTTTGAGGGGGCCCGACAGCACTGTATGTTCATTACCTGACACACAGATCCATGGGTGGGTGGCTCTTCATTATGAATATCACAACGGGCTTTTAAGGCTTGTGGGGGTGCACGGTTGCTATGGTAATGGTAATGGCCGCTTATGTAAAACGCTAGGGAATAGAGAGCTGGTGACTACCGCGTCCATGTGTCGGCTTCCTTTTTTCAAATGTGGAGAGAGCAAAGGTGTGAAATGTGTAGTTTTTTTTGTATTTAAATGGTAATGATATGCAAACACAGGAGAGTAAATAAAGACCAAGATTTTCAGTAAATAATGACTTAAGTTTCTGTTATAACAAAAGTATATACTTTTTCCTGTCAACATACTGTCTTACCATAATAAAGGCAAAAATGCAAAAAAAAAGAGAGATGCATTCTGTAGCTTTTTTGCTTTCAACAACCACTTGTAAGGTGAAGAAGTCTTTTTTCATATTGTATTATCCCAGAAAAACTGCAAAAAAAATCTTCCTCAACTCTTTCAACTCAAACTTTATTTATAAAGCACTTTCAACACCACGACTGGAACCAAAGTGCTGTACAGAGAAAGATAAGAGAAAAAAAAACAAATAATAATAATATAAAAACAAATAAAAAATAATAATAGTAACAACAAATATCATACACAGCTAAAAACCATTGTCAAAAGCTAGAGAAAACAAATGAGTTTTAAGCGAACTCTGAAAAACACCCAAAGTTTGAGAGGTTCTAATAGACAGAGGAAGGGCATCCCAGAGCCTAGGAGCTGCCACAGAGAAAGCACGATCCCCTCTACATTTTAGACGAGATCGCGGAACCATTAGGAGTAGTTGATCATTTGAGCGCAGAGATCTGCTGGATTGACAGACACTAATTAAATCAGTAACATAGTCAGGTGATAGACCATGCACAGCCTTAAAAACATACAGCAACGCTTTGAAATGAATTCTGTATCGTACAGGTAGCCAATGCAGTTTGATTAACGCAGGAGTGATATGCTCTCTCCCCTTTGTACATGTTAAAAGTCTGGCAGCTGAGTTCTGAACAAGCTGCAAACAAGAGAGAGAGAGCTGATTCAAACCCAGATACAACACATTACAATAGTCCAAACGAGATGACACATTCCTCTGAGCCAGGTTACAACTATTTGTTCAATTCTCAGCCAATTTTCACATGCATGAATGATTCTGAAGTCATTACTTTATGCCTATTTTATGCCAGATTTCTGCTTTTTTCACTTCTTTACAGAATGTCATTTAAATGACACATATTGAATACCTCTTTTTGTTATTAAAACTGAATCATTTGACTGCTTTTGTTATTTTGATAAGTGCATTAAAGCTATATATTCACAGATTTTTCACAAATTAAGAATGCAGATTCTTAAATATATATATATATACACACACACAGTATATATACACATATATATAAACAAGAATCGTATTCTTATTTTGTGAAAAATCTGTATTTGATGGATATTTTGGAACTCAGCATCATGAAATTGGGTAATATGATTTTTTGCAAATCAGCAGATCTTTTATTCAAGATGCAGGGCTGAGTCATATGAATTAAATTCATGACATTTTTGGATATTTTTTTATTTTATTTTCAAATCTAATTCAGTTTCAGTTTGAATTGATCTGTGTAGAGTTTATGTGAGGTTTAGGCCATCTGCGCGTCCATTAGCGTGTCTGTAGATGTGCATTTCTCAGATCAATGTTCCTGTGGGGGTAGAGACACACTTGCTGGACTGATCCTCACCTCCTCTGGCTCAGCAGTGGCAGCTGCCAGACGGCCTTGTTGTGCCAGCTGGCTGTAATCCACCGTCACCTGAGATGCCAGTCCACCCAGCTCCTCTGGACATGTCACTGACTTCGTCATCTAGGGTCACATAACAGAAGTATAAGCTGTGATACAGTGACTAAAGATGTGAGAGGATGTTGAAGCATTTTGAGTGAGCGTCCTCACCATTTCCTGCGCAGTAATGGCGATGGCTTTTGAAAACTTCACCATGGTGGTCTGGTAATCCACAAAAGTGCCATCAGGCTCTGGCGGAGTTCCTTCATCCATCTGTGAAGCAGAGACCCGGATAACAGTGATGTAATGCTGGATCCAGTCCTAATACAAATTACCGTCTTTGCGTTCTATCATTCCCGCAGAAAATGATCAGAGTGCAGATATTCAAATGGCTGCCATTGTCTTCCACCGTGAGTCATGACAGCATAATGACAGATTGCATGCATCCAGAGCTGATAAATGGAGATGTTGTGCCAATTCAGTCTAATAATGAGATACAGAGGCAGCTGTAGTATCTGTGACACATTTACATATGAGTGCCAGCTAGAGATGACTTTGATCAGAAAACATTCTACAGATATCTAATAAAACAAAACAATATGGTATGTTAAGAAATTACATTGATTTGTAATAAAAAAGGGGAATTTAAATTAATTAATTTTAATATTTTTTATAAACTCAGAAATTATTAGTCAACATATATTTTATATTATATTACATGATAAACCTTTTATTTTAGATCAATATTATTATAAATAGGAAAAAATATATATATTTGACTGTTTTGGTCAAACAGTTCTGTTGTTATTCATATATAATTTCATACACTTATTTTCATATATAATAATAATAATAATAACAACAATAATAATAATAGCAATTATTTATTTTTATAGGGATTATTATTGTTGGTCAATAACATTACTGCTTTAAAGATGAACAAAAGTTAATATAAATATTGTATATAATGTCAATTAAACATGGTAGCTGCCATTACAAAAACATTTGCGTATGACTGATCATGACTGATGAACTGAATGAAGTTTCTGTATTTATGTGGTTATGATATACAAATGCATGTGAAATTTGAGAGTAAATAATGAATATCTATAAAAAAAAATTGTTCTTTTTTGCCTTTTTAGTTCTTTGTGCACTTATTTTTCCTTTTAATAATAATAATAAAACATTTTGTAACATATATATACCAGTTATACAGTTTACTGGCCATATATATATATATATATATATATATATATAAGTAAAGTAAAGTTTAGGATTATTATTATTGTTATTATTATTATTATATGGACTTTTTTGGCCATTGCCCCCTGATCTCCTGATATTAGCAATGGATTTGGAAAAATGGTCATCCACTGTTTTCAATGTCAAGTCCCTAACCCGTCCGATGGACTCAGCGATGGACTCCACCATGCCGCCCACCATCCCGCCCTCACTGGCCGCCTCGTTTAAGGTCACCATGATGTCATCAACTGCCTCCTTCATCAACTGGGCCGCTTCAGCTATGGCATCATGAGTGTGGGATGCCTGCAAAAACAAAAAAGTTAGTGGCTAATGGGACAAAGATGGCCAACACAGACCCATTAGCATCACTTCAGCAACACACACATAATCAAAGTCTGTTCTTTCTAACCAGAAGCTCTATGAATGTGCCGTCAGATGCTGCAGGTGGTTTCAGAATATCAAGCTTTTTTCATAAAAACCATGTGTTGTTATTTCCATGTGTCGTACCTTAGGGTTTCCTCCGCCTTCTTTGGCAGCATAGAGCATCTGTAGAGCAGATTCAAACAGGGTTTTGGTTTGATCCAGTATGTTCATCTGCTGCTGGTGGTCGGCATGTTTAGACGCCAGTCCCACCGACGCCACAATCACTGGCTCAAAGTAGCTCGCTAACTGAGTCACCTGGGGGAAAAAAAACATGCGTCAAGACCATCTGGCATGCAAACATACAGTTTCCAGTATATATTTCAGGCAAGAGGGATATATAGATGGGAACTGGTACAACTTTTCAGCTATTTATTCGACTGACAAGCTGACAATCATTTTCAATCAATCTTGCTCCAACAAACAAAGCCGGATTTAATTAAAACAAATTGGACACATTTTTATAATGTCAATGTAATCAATTCATGATGTTTATTCAAATGGCACTGTGTGATTTACCCAAACCAGACATAATATATATGGAGGTATGATGAAGGACAATGTTGTTGATCCAGGAACATTTCGTAATTGTGTAAAGCATTTGGCCAATCATGGATTGGCTGCAGTGGTAACATATTTGCACTTCCACTTTTGATGTCCGAGTTACCTTGTGTCCGAGCTGAGCCGCTTCCCCTCGCGCTGCAGTGGAGATGGGGTCAATGAGGTGGCCGATCTCCTGCACAGCGGACGTCAGCTGCTCCTGTAAAGCCTGATGGGGGCAGAGTCACATTAGCATTTGCTCAAACACTAATGCTACATTTCATAATACCAAAATAATACTAGCACTAAAGTTACAAGGGGTATAGAATATGAAAAATATAAATTTGCTCCTTTGAAATCAAAGTGTGACAACTTTCAAAAGAACACGATTAAAAAAAAAAAAACTTCATCACAGAAACTATTAACATATGACTAGCCACATTTACATAGCGATGCCAGTTTTCCACATCTTGCTCCACCATGGAGTGAACAGTACATGGAGGACAGCCAATCAAAACAGATGTCATTCACGGTATTTTTTCTTAAAGGTACAGTATCAAATTCTTAAACTATTAAAGGTACAATAAACCTGTTTGATTTTGATACAAATCTAAAAAGGGTTGTTATTGTTAAATAAAACAAACTATTAAAAACCATTTTTGTTAACTGAAATAAAATATAAATATTAGATGAAAAACTTGAACTTTGGAAAAAACTGGAATTTTATTTTTGGAACTGAAATAAAATTAGCAAAAACTAACACAAACTGAAAGCTAAATGCAAATACAAAAAACAAAAACTAATAAAAAAAATGCCAAAAGCACATAAAATTACAAAAACAAACTAAAATTAAAATAAAACTGAAAATATAGAAACAAAAAAGCTACTTCAAATTATTAAAATTATAAAAGCATATAAATAATTCTAAAATAACACTAAATCTGATACATAAAATCATTAACATGGAGAACTAGGTGGTGCCACTTAAAAATAAAATGAATCAAATATTGATTTATTCATCCATTTAAAAAAAGTAAAGAAATTACTTGTAAAATTGACAAATAGATACATAGATCTTTTTTTTAAATATTTAATTCATGTTTAAAAATGTAGTTCAATGCAGCAATTAAACAATACATGAATAACAAAATATTAAATGTCTTAAAATCCAGTCGAAATTTCATTAGCTGCTCCCACGTGTGAACTATCCAAGGCCATTTTTAACAACATGGCTTTTTTAAGTGGATAAAGAAAAGCAATTTATAGCATTTATCAAAATGCTACTTAAATGTTCCATTTCAAAATGATTTAAAACATTATTAACATCATTCTAAATATTATTAATCTATTATATATTATTACATAATATTACACTCAATTTTATGCAACATGAGATAAATATTTTTAAATGTCTGTTTATTTGTTACATTGAAAAGTAGTTTATGTATTTTTATTAGTGATACAATACATTAATAACTCATTTAATTTTTTAAGCAGCACTCCAAGTCCTCCATAGATTCATAACGCTTGGCTTCATAACACAAGCTGTTGTAAACATTACAGAAAGTAAGACTGTACCAGAGCAACATTAATGAAATGTAATGTTACTACAGAGTGACGGCAGGTATTGACACAACAGACAAGTGTTTTAGTGGTTTACCTCCATCGAGATGTCGTCCCTGCAGGGCAGACTCTGACTCACGGCGGCGAGGGACACCTGCTCGATGTCCCTGATGCTCTTGTTCATGCTGTCGATGGACTGGTCACACTCCCGCTGCCCAGGGGCCTTGTCCCTATGACAACAGAGGAGTCGAGGTTGCTACAGGGTTGCCGTGGAGTGTTCTTCAGCTTAATTGAATTAGGTATTTCAACTCAATCCGGATATTGTACATTACAGTATCATAAAACAGGAGAGTCAGCGCAGACGTGGGTGTCTTTGCTCGCACACACACACACACACACACACACACACACACACACACACACACACAGAGTGCTGGCTGAGCTCCAGTTCTGATTGGTTGATCTGGGAGGACAGTATGTGGAGGGCAGCGAGCCCAGCTGCTGTTCCTGCAACTGCTGAGAGTGTTACAGTCGAGAAGGCAGGGTCAATGATCTCAGATCAGATCGTCTGTTCGCACTCTGTGCAGAAGCGTGGATGAGTGTCTGATCAGTGTTCAGTTTCCTCAATCACTCTCTACACTCTCAGTAGAGAGAGAAACCCAGAAAGCGTCACTTACTACAAAATACAACCCAGTGACACCAGACACAAGCTGTTATTCAGCTATTATTTACAGAAAAAAAGCCTTCAAACGATACATCAGAAAAAAACAAACCTACTGTTGGCTTCTGCGAAAAGAAAAGTCTTAAATGTTAAAAAATAATTAAAGAAAGTTGTACTTGCCAGTGTTTTATCTTTTGTGTTTAGTTGTTATTATTATTCCTATTAATGTTTTATGGATGCAGGACTTTTACAGCTGATCCCAATCATTGATTTACTGTCATCAGTCCTGATTATTTAAACTTTTATCAAAACCTCTGCAATAACTATTTAATGTATATTTATTGTCACTATTAACTGAATTAAAACACCAGCAATTTTGTAAAAGAAAGAAATTCTCTGTTGTTTAATTGATTATAAAAAAAACACTTTTTAAAATAATTTATTGAACAGTTATGTTGTGAATTATTAAAATGGAAAAGAACTGTTTTCTATTTGAATATATTTTAAAATGTAATTTATTCCTGTGATGCCAAGCTGAATTTTCAGCATTATTACTCCAGTCATCAGTGCCACGTGATCCTTCAGAAATCATTCTAATATGCTGATTTGCTGCATAAAATATTTTTATTTTCTATAAAGGAAATCTTACTTACACCAAACTTTTGAACAGCAGTGTTTATTTAATAAAAACTTAAATCTAAACAAAATATTATCCATATTAGGAAACAGACACCAAAGAATAAATACACATTTATTAAATATATTTAAATGTATAATACATATAACAGGTGAAATGGATATGTTTAATCATTATTGTGACAGTTTTGTGTATTTATACATTCATTTGCTTAACTGTTGTTTTATTACACTTTGTTTCAACTGAATATATTTAATATAATAATTATTCTATATTCATTGGCTTTGTTTATAACACATTCCCTGGTTTTTCAATTCACTGCTTGTTGGTGATATTACTTCCCCCGGCAGCTGTAACGAGGGGAACAGACTCTGTGTGAGGGAAGGTTTGAGAAGGGAACGAGAGCGCGTGTGCAGACTGAACAGCTGCTGCTGTTAATAACGCTCGCTCTCGAGTTATTTAATAGAAGTTTAAATTAAACCTCATCTTTTACCCGCATTATTATTATTTAACACCTGATGGAGACCGATGCCGCCGCAAGCTTTTCATATTCGCCAAACCGGTCACGTGCATCTTTCTCAACTGCTAAATCAGCTATTTATTTGCATGATGCTGACCTGATGGACGTGATGAGGCTCTTGATGGAGTCCGACACGGTGCGGGAATGGCCTGCCAAGATGGACCAGGTGGGCGGGTCTTTGGGGTTAAGGATGAGAGAGCGGGCGGTCTCTAATAAGTGGGTGGAGCTGTCCAGCATTGAACGAGCAGAACGAAGGATTGGCTCCTGGGCTGCTGAACCCTGGGATTGGAAAGAAATATGTTTAATACAATTCAGTTTACAGTGTTCTTTAGTTATTCTGTTCTTAAAGTCCCATAAAAATGTGTGTACCATATATAAAGGGAAATATTAACCCTTATATATGAAATATTAATTAAATATTATATTTCTTATATAACCCATCCCTCAAAAATCAGAACATCAAATGCAAAAATGTTAACAATCACCAAAAATATTTGAATATTGATACAAACACAATCCTAAATAATTATATTAAAACAAACAAGATGTTAAAAACATTTACTGTAAGTAGCTGCTGTAAGAACAGAACCAAACTCCCACAAACCCCAAACAGACTGAGGTGATAAAATTGTCAGGGACTTGTGTTTAAAAACACCACAAAACTCCCATCCACACTCACTGACCTTTTAGACTTCCTGTGAGGAAGTCCAGTGTCAAACAGTCAGTGAATGGAGAGAAACCACTTTGTTTTGGCACAACATTACAGGCAATATTTCAAAGACAGAGGAGTCGTCTAGTTATTCATGAAGGCAGTGTAGGTACTTTTTACCATACTTTATACACAAAGAATTTGAACATGCACTACACGCACACATGGACCTCCAACAGATTAAGCTGAGTTTATAGTTAATAACAACTAGATTTCAGCTATAAATCGGCTGTAACCTATAGAAAGATTCACTATTACACAGTTCGTCTGGAATGCCCAAATCAGACAAATCCTAACCCCAGAGCATTGCCTTGGCATTTTTAGATTTGTATGTCCTCCAGATTTGGTTCAAGATGAAATATTTAGCCCTAAAAATTCAGTGGAATGAGTACCCATATACTCACACACACACACACACACACACTCACACACAAATAAATAAATAAATGAAATATTGTGGTATGAAGTATTTCATCACCTCGTGGCTTATCTGCGCAGGAATGCTGGCAAACTCAGGGTTGGAGGCAAAGGTGGAGAGATTATCCACAGCTTCTATCAGCGGGGTTGTGGCCACTCTGCACCTCTCGCGGTTCTCATCTGAGAAATCTCCATCCAAGGCCTGAGAAACACAGCAGAGAGATCACACTTCAATCTATACACATAAATAATGCTTTATCGATGGTTATAAGGTTGCAAATGGTCAGATAAGCTCACAGTCTTCATGCTGATGCACAAGATTCAATCAATTCTCAGTTTCTTTGGTACCAAATGACCTTTTGGTAATTAACGGCAGGCTGTACCTTTATAGTTTTCACAAGGTTAGCCGTGGTATTGGCGACCTCTTTGGCTGACTGCACGAAATGTCTCCGGGCCACAGGATTGGCTGCTTTGGAAGATGCCAGACGACAGGCATTGCAAAGAGCCGAGGTATGCTTTGCAACAATGGTAGCTGCCGACAAAACCTACACAAACAAATAGATGAGAATGTAAGCCACAAAGATTAAAATCATTAAAATCACAAAAAAGCCAATCAGAATATGGACAAGACAAGTAAAAAATTAAGATTAATATTGACTTGATACCAAAGAACCAAACAGTCACCTGGGATGGGCTGCTGGCCGGGTCCACCAGATTCTGGCAGGCCATCTGAATCGCCTGATTGGCTCTGGCAAACTGGATGGGATCGACCAATCCCTGATGACCTGACTGGCTGTTTGGGTCTGAGACTCCTACCAAATAAGAGGCCTGAAGAAAAATAAAGGCATGCCAAAATAATCAGCTGAGTAAATCAGTTGATAATTTCTATTCATTTTTTTTTTTATGTGTTATTTACATGTATTAAATATTGTTATATTAATTACATTTATTTATATTTATATTTATTATTTAATATTATATTACATTATACTTTAAATTTCCTAATAATAAATCACATCAAAATGAACCTTTTCCACGAAAAAGTAAAAAGTAAACAACAGACAAAACCAAGGCATCATGGACAGCAATAATTAATATTAACCAATAGCACCATAGCTTACTTTAAAAAAAATTTTTTTAATCTATTATTTTCTTTATTTTTACAAGCATTATTTAATATATTAATATTTATTATATGACAAATTTTCCTTATTGTGCACAATTAATGTGCACTTGGCATTATTTTTTTAATGTTTTATATTAATTATATCAAAATGAATCATTTTTTTCCACCTCTGAAAAACTTCTCTGTTGACAGAACCAATGCAGCATAGACAGTAAAAAAAGAAAATAATACACACACACACACACACACACACACACACACACATATATATATATATATATATGAAGAGTTCAGATGCAAAAGCCTCTAAGTGCCATTTAAAATTTTCTGTTTTTATATAGATAGTTAATAAATAATATAATCTAACCCTAATTCATACCCTAACAGAAAACTTTCTGCATTTTTACATAAAAGAAAAAAAAAGAAAAATACAAAACTTATTTACAGTGTTTAACAAATGAGGATGCCCCCAAAGGTTTTGTCAGATTTAGCTCACTTCTGGATACAAATGTCTCAAAATATGGTTAAGTAAGCATGTCCTCACACACTCATACACAGTTTCTGATTTTGCGAAAGCTCTTTTTTTTTGTCGTTGGCCAGCAGGGTGACCTTAGGATGACTGGTTAATGATCACTAAACTCTCCCTAGACTGCCGAATGAAGCTCATTCCTACCGTGCCGCAGCTGCGAGGAGGTTCTTGGCGTTTGCCGCCCCTGGATCTACAGAGAGGGACTTGGCAGCCAATAGCAGCTTACTGGATGCCATAGAGATGTTCTTCAGGTTGCCAATCACCTGGATCTGGTCATCTTTGGACTATGGAAACAGAAGATGGCAGCTCAGCCTGCAGTCAAACGATGTTGTTCTTTAACTTTATTTCAGCAGAAAAATGTGCAGTGTTCTTTCAAAAGAGGTTATATTTTATGGTTACAAAATTTAAAGGGATAGTTATTCTGCCACAGAATAAAAACAAAGTTAATTTCAACTTTTTACTTCACACTTCTGACTTTTCTTCTTGCACGATGTAAACTTAGAATGGTGAGAAAAACAGTCTGCAAGATGTAAACTGCAACTTGCTTGTAATACTTTTCCATGCAATTATAAATGAATACAAATTCAAACTTCAAAAAGAATGCAAAATACTAAAAAAATATCATAAATGTGGTCCATACGGCTTACTTATGCAACATATTTCACGTCTTCTGTAGCCATATGACAGCTTTGTGTAAAGAACAGTGCTAAACAAGGCATTGTAGGCCTACTGAATTTTAATTATATGATACCACATAATTAATATTCATGAGCCAAGTTGATGTGTTTTTCTAATTTTGCCCTTAAAGAGCAAACTGTGGCTCTTATTTTACACATCATTTTGATGGGCACCTTAGTTTCACAGAGCTAGACTATCTGCTGATGGCTTCCGGCCTGTCCTGTCCTGCCAGATCTCTGTGTCTCACACTATCATCTTTTAATGGGTATGTCACGCTCCATCAACCCCGCTGCTCTCCTGCCTCTCCAAATTAATCAACAAAACATGCAGAACCAGAACATCATCAAAGATTTCATTAGGATGGAGCATCTTCATGCTCTCTGGAACGATTATGTGCCTGAGTGAATACAATGAGAGGCACTAATTAACAAATTAATCAGAACTTCAAAATTTTCTATAGAGTTTTAGAAAATGTGACCGCCATTTTTTGGGGGGGAGTGGGGGTAGTTGTTTAACTATTGTATACTACCTTTCAAAAGTTGATTTTATTTTTAAAGAAAATAATAGTCATTCAGCAAGGATGCATTAAATTATAAGAGTCTTTACTGTCACTTTTGAACGATGTTACAAAAAGTTTTATTTTAAATAAATGCTGCTCTTTTGAAGTTCAAATCAAAGAATTCTGAAAAAAGTATGCTTCTACAAATGATCAAGCAGCACAACTGTTTTCAACATTGATAATAATAAGAAATGTTTCTTGAGCAGCAAATCAGCATATTAGAATGATTTCTGAAGGATCATGTGACACTGAAGACTGGAGTAATGATGCTGAAAATTCACCTTTGCATCACAGGACTAAATTACATTTTAAAATATATTCAAATAGAAAACACATATTTTAAACTGCAATAATATTTCACAATATTGCTCTTTTTACTGTATTTTTAAACAAATAAATGCAGCCTTGGTGAGTGAGTACATGAAAAATTTTCATTAGTGTTATTTCACTGAAAGCAAAATGTTGTGTAAAGCAACAAATTCACATTCAGAAAGCGCATATTTGATCAATATGCAGTTATGTAAGTGGGATTTTGGACCTAATATAGTTGTCTAACAAACCTGGCATTGTGTATTAAGAATATTGTTGGATTGACTTCCTCTTTGGATAAAAGCGTCTGCTAAATGCATAAATGTACATTGACCAATGAGATTTCTCTGTGGGTAAAGCACGTCATAAACCATCTCTCAGCTCTAAGAGGGCACTAAAACTGTACCTGAGTGTGTCCGGCCATCTCAATGCCGGCATCTAAAAACTCATCAAAGTCTTGGCTGAACTTCCCGGAAGCCACAGCCAGCTGGCTGCTGCTCCCACGTGAAGACTGCACCACATCTCCAGCTGAATGGTTGAGCTCGGCTGCCGTGTGGTTCAGGTCTGTCTGCGCCTCTTGGAAAGATTTGGAGCATGGAGGAAGCTGGAAAAAGTTAGGGTTGATCACTGTTGGGCCTCATTCATGAAACATGATCAGAAGGAATTCCTGTGTACAACATTCAGAAATTGTGACAATTTACATAATAATAATGTTTTTTTTTTTTGTTTTTTTTAAATCATTTACACAGTTTTATGTTTAGACTCGCTAGTAGCTAGTAAAGAACTGACAAAAAACTCACATTTTCCACAAGCAATTTCTTACTGGCCTCGCCAATGCTCCTGAGAGCCATGTCCACATCCTTTTGTCCAGGTAAGCAGTTCACACAGTTATTGAGGGAGTGAGAGACAGCCTTCGCCACCTGAAAAACACCAACAAACACACACATTCCCACCAATAACTCTACAAAGGCCCAGAGAGATGCGGCGTGAATCTAAAATTCAAATCAGCCCCTCGGCACAACAGAGAAATCTGTGTCCCTAATTTATGCCACTGTCACATACATATGCCAAGCAATATGTTTGCATCCCAAAGGAACCTGTACGAATCAGGAGGTACGCTGGCACCTTCCAGAAAAAAAGGTCGTCGAGAAACAGAGACAATAGAAAATAGCTCAGTTTATTGGAGATAATTGCCAAGAGGGATCTGATGGGAGATTAATCTGGTTTTAACACAGTAGCTGAAGAAGACAAAAACTATTCTGGCCTCAAATAAAGATGAATAAATACTCTTTTTTTGGATAACTATGTAACCAAACTTCTACTTCAGCATCTACTTGTCACTGAATAAATGTTCTTGAAGATGGGCGGACATCTGTCTTTATTTGCATGTGGTTTAATGTGCGTTGTCCTACCTGTGCTAATCTCTGCTGGCTCTCGGCATCACCAGGGCACACTAGGGCTTGGTCGGCTTCGTGGATTAGCATGGCCGAGCCCTCCATCACGTGACAGGCGGAGTCCAGCATGGCCGCTGCAGCTTTGGGCTCCACGGTACTCGCTGCCACTCCCCTCGCGGCCTGGGCCAACGTCCTCAGAGCTTGAGCAGTTTCCCTTGCTGCCACACCTGCCGCAAACACACACACACACACAAATACAGGCCAATTAATTGGACAATTTATGGCATTCTGAGGTTATATCTATCACAGTGATCTACTGCTATAATCGGCAGACCGATTAATCAGCCGATATTTTCCATGTTGAGATTATATCTATTTTAACGATCTACCGATTTAACAGTCAGATCAATTAATCAGATGATATTTGGCATTCTGAGGTTATATCTATCACAGTGATCTACTGCTATAATCGTCAGACCGATTAATCAGCCGATATTTGCCATGTTGAGATTATATCTATTACAATGATCTACTGATATAACAGTCAGACCAATTAATTTTGTATATAAATAGTACATCATTTGGCTTAACGTGATTAACGAAAACAAGACATGTTCATGGATCAGCATTTGCTGTTTGTGTTCTACCAAACAATCAAGGCCTTAACCCAAAATTCAGAGGGTAAATTGGTTGATGGGATGTTAATCCAGGAACATTTCCTACTTGTGTAAATCCTGTTGTTATACTGCACATTTCATATTCAGTATAGATAGATTCTCCTGAAGTATTGTGTTTTATATGCTGAAAAGCAACATAAGTCGTCTCACCAGTATAATGTTCGTTGCCCTGGGCAGCACAGGTCAATA